ACGGTCCCTGTGGCCGAGTTAGGCTCGAAGAGAGTTTCAATGCACTCAGTGTGGAGCGGACTATGGTATAGCCACCGTCTTGTGTGCGTTTGAATCCCCACATATGACGTGCGTGTGTTTGCCTGTGAAGGAGTGTGGGTCAGATCCGTTGATGAAACGTGGCTCCCATCCACATGCGTCCCGGTCTTATTCCTTCGCGTTTACACTGGATATGGGGTGTGGTTGGAGCTGTGGGTGGTGAAACGCAAGCTATCCATAGACCTTCTGTAGGCGTAGGCGTCCTGTGGCTGTCCCCGTAGAGGCCAAAGTGACAGGCAAATCCTCACTCGGACGCCGCGTGCCATATATATATATATATATATATATATATATATATATATATATATATATATATCGGTGGTTATGCTCCATGCTGAGGCGGAGGTTGCATTTATGATGCTTCTTGACTGCAGTTGGACTAAACCAACAAACACTTAAATTAGGACTTTTTAAGCTGGGTAAATTTTCTTCCACTTTATTTGGTTTGTTCTGAATATCTGAATAATCTTCTATTGACGGGCCAACCTGCTTACGCTAACTGTGGATATCTTTTTAACTTTATTGCGTTTGTATCAGTTTTTGAGTAACTTCTGAATATTTTGTGCTTATCGCCGATCCGTTGCTAACCAATTTAATTTATATGCTAATTTAGGGAAGAGTTATGTCTGCACAGCCATATACTTTAACAGATATATTTTGTTTGAGAGTCATTTCAAGTGAATGGCTGTTGTTTGACATCCCCGGTATGGCTGCGCTTGATATGCATGTTGACAAGGTGCCTACCTGTCTATTACCCACTACCTCGTTCATACTGGCTCCAGCGGACAGCTGGTCGTTGCTGGAGGGGACGGGTGCATAGTCCTTGTGGTCGTGCTGGGCTCGAGGAGTGGTTCCATGCACTCAGTGTGGAACCCGGATGCCACCAACCATATATGGTTGGCGGCATCCGGGTTCGGATATGCCTGTCACTGGGACCAGCCACAGGACGCCTGCGCCTACAGAGGGACCATGGGTGGCTTGTGCTGCACCACCCACAGTTCCATCCACACACCCCATCTCTAGTGTAAACCAGAAGGAATAAGACCGGAAGGCATGTGAATGTGAGCCACGTTTCAACAACAGAGCCGGCCCACACTCCTTCACAGGCAAACAGTAGCAGGCCGTAGTTGGGAATCAACCGCACACAAGGCGCTGGCCGGACCGTTATCCGCTCGACACTGAATGCGCGGAACAACTCTTCGAGTCTTTCATGTCCACAATGACCGTGCACCCCGTCCCGTCCAGCAACGACCAATTGTCTCCTGGAGCCAGATGGACTAGGTAGTAGGTAATAGACAGGTAGGCATATTGTCAACATGCACATCAAGCGCAGCCACACACTCGAAACGACAAGATGAAAAAAATAAATCGGCTAAGACATACAGATACAGCGGCGTAACTCTTCACAAACAGGCGTATAAAACTGATTACAAAAGGACCCGCAATAACTTCAAGACGTCAGAAAAAATATTTTGAGGAGACGCCACAAACGCAAAATTGTTATCGCAATTAAATACAATTAGCTTCAGTGACGTGTGCAAGTGTATATCAGGTAGTTCCGGAAGACATTAAAATGAGAAAGAAAAGCAATAAGACAAAATTGAAAACCCACCACCTGAAAGAAAGAGACTTAGCATGCAAGCACGCGGTTAATAAGTCGAATGCAGCGTACCTACAAACGCTGCTTCGGTTCTGCCTACTTTCACTGCAGGACCCGTCGCCGATTCGGTGATGGTCCCGAGTGGCTGCGCTGATGGCTCACTAAACCGGTCTGACTAAGGCAATCGCGACCGCATGTGCTACAGCACCATGTGCTCGATGTCGATGGAGTACAGCCCATCGGCGCATGTCGCTTCCGCACATGCCGCTTATTCTCTGCATGTATGAGGTCTTTCTTCCGCACCGCGGCAACTGCCTTCGTGATCAGATGGCGCCTTGCACGCCGATCAACCGCCTTAGATTCCCATGACCTGCAATCAAGTTTAAAACTTGAGAGGCTCACTTTGATCATGTTCTGGTATCGTAACTTTGGTTTCCCCACCTGCCGCTTCCTAATACTCAGCTGACCATATAATAGCTGCTTCGGTATCCGCGTGGAATCTACACGCCACACATGACGGAGCCACCCCAGTTGTCTCAGCAAAAGTATGCAGTCCACTGCATACATTCCACTTCGGCGCAACAATTCCGTGTCCGTAACTCTGTCGCTCCACCCGATGCGCAGAATTCGTCGCAAAACTGTTGATGGAACCGCTCGAGATATCGCACATCAGGCCTGTATATCGTTCGGGTTTTATTGCCGTACAGAAGAACGGACAGCACCATGGATTTGTACACCATCAGCTTTGTGCCAACAGTAAATTGGTGGTTATTCCTTACTCGGTATTCTAGCTAAGACACAGCCTTACTTCACACTAGAGACAACTGCAAAGTCATCTGAGGTCTCTCCACTCAGTTGCACCCACGTTCACAAACCACTGTGCAAACATTCAATTAAACTTACAAACTTACGCAGGCAACCAAACTTGCCCAACAACAGCTACAATGCCTCGCGGTTCACCATATCAAATGCCTTGGTGAAATCAACCAAAAGCGAGTACAACGGCTGGTGTCGTTCTCCGCACTTCTCCTGCAAATGACGAGCAGCAAACACCATCTACATATATATATATATATATATATATATATATATATATATATCGGTACACTAAAAATTTTGATAGGCCTATTTGATCTATTATATCGTTTACTGGAACATAGCAGGAGCCTTTCGGATGCCAAATGGTAGTCTGTTATACCTGAACGAAATTCGATAGGTGCCATTTCTCTTTTTTTCCGTGTTTTTGTATAGTTTGAACTTCCCATTAGTGCGCTACTTGTCTAAGTTTCAGAAATATCTATCGGTACCGAGCTGAGGGTTAACGTCCTCAATATTCGTAATGCAGTATTTTTCAGTCGGAGTACGTCAAGTTATGTTAACTTTGTAGTGTCTACAGATTGGAATCGATCCAACAAGTTTGAGCATAAATCTATTGGTGTAGCGCATTCCGTAAATTGCATTGGCTATCTGACGTTGCACTTTTGGTGGGTGGTCAAGTTTCTATCTACCTTCCATCGCATTATATTTGGCAGCGGATTAACCTTGAGGAATCGTGTTCGTATGCTAAGTTTGATTTGTATTTTATCTTGCCCACCTTTAAATGTTTGTCATTCTCACTTAACAAAAGATTGTGTGTATTTTTGAAACAGCATTTGTGATTCCTATTGCAAGGATAGTTGCCTTATCTGTAGAACCGGAAGTTGATTGATGTTTTCCCGACCCAGTAAGTTTGGACCATCTTCGCGCGGGACTTACATGATTTCCCAGTTTGTCTACTTTTCGTATGATAGGTCAATGTCCTGCATCCCCGGTAGTTTCTTTTCACCTTCCATAAATATAATCAGCCAGGGTTGCCCGCCACAGCTTGTTGCGGTTTGTCGAGGCCAATGTTTGTAATTACGTTGCTTTGTTGCACAACGCCATTTCTCTGCCAGTGCCAATGTCAAATTGCACTGAAATCTGGTTAGCAGAAAGCTGTATGTAAAATGGTGGTTATGCGCTTTGACTAGTTATGCTTTATATATTCCTGTGGTTCAACAGCAACTATTTGGTTTTGTACCATTGTGGGGAATGTGTGTTTGCAATGAACAAGCATCTACGAGCCAAATGCAAACGTTTGTGATATTTGTGGTAAGTTGTTTGAGCCTGATTTCACGCTCTGGCATGACTGCGCCAGAACTCGCAGCGATAGCGCGCAAAGGACGCTTGGTGTTTTATCAACTCTGTTGCCTTCTGTCGGAAAATTCTTATCACCTCTCTTTAAACTGTCCCCAATACTGCAGAATCCGGACGTACTTTTCAGTAGTCTCTATGCCCGTCGCAATAGCAAAGGCCCTTCCAACTTCAGTGCGTTATCAACGAACAGGTAGCGCTGCTTACGAACGTTTTTCAGTCCGACACTTAGATGATCCCGGATCATGTCATTTCGGTAGTCGCGGAAGTCAGTATATTCCGTCAACTTCCGAGGCTCGGCAATGAAGGTAACAACTACCTTCCTCTCAAAATCACTTGTGCTTTGGGATTGTGGTGATTGGAGGCCAGTGTGACCAATTCATCAAATTGTTTGGTGCGTGGTAAATCCGGAGTCAGCAGGCTGAGAATTAGTTCGTTTGTTTGTGGGTCACAAATACTCAGTAGGTTGTTCACCTTACCGTTTTGTCACTGAGAATTCAATCGGCCGAGAAGGCTATTAAGACACTCAATGCAATAGTTCCAAGAGCCGGATTCCTCAGCGTACTTTTCCAATTTGCTGATGGGAGCCAGTCCATCGCCAGTATTATACGCAAAAACCTGACATGTACTATGACACGGTTGTGATGTCTGCACACGACTAAGTCGTTGTCCGTTCGACCACAAACACACTAGCCATGTGTATTGCCCATCGGGTAGTGGTTCGTGATAACCAATCACAACACCCACCTTCGTTGCTCTATTGTAGGACCATTCCTCCAGTGCTTCTCTCAGCTGGAAGAATACGTACGCGCATAGTGTCCCGAAACAGAACAATGGCGGTCCTGTGCTTCACCTGTGTCCGTTTTCACTTCGGTTGAAGCTGCTTTTCATGAGATACTGGTATATAAAACATGTTATCCAATAGTCTCAACCACTGCGGTCACCGTTATACCTGTTCAGCTGTATCCTTAGCCAAGCTGGACTGGCCACATTCACAAGGTTATCAGTGGTGTTGTTATCCTTCCTAGACTTTACCTATCAGTGGGTCCAGAGACCACCGGTTCCTAACAGGGGTGCTCTTCGTCACCCAAGAATCAACGCTACAATCTATCAACTGACTTAAATTCTTCTAATACTTTTTCAAATTCAGGCAACTCAAACAACAGGAGGAAGACAAACGGACACCTGTATGTTCCAGTCATACTTTGTCCTTGCTTCCGGTGCTTGCACCGCCCAGAAAGGACCAATCAAAGGCATGTCAGCCGCAGACATCGTGTCTTCATGCGAGAAACCAACCTGGTAAGTATCAGATTGTGCTTTCCCGCTGAGTACCTAGAGCGGAGTGCGATGCACTTTCGGTGCGTTCCATGGGTTTCCTGTCACATTTCGATCAGAGAAGCATTACAGGGCTTTGTTGATGTCCACCGATCATGCTAACTGGTGGCTAGTAATAGTGCTGTACTTGGAAGTTCTGAAAACTCCCGCAGGAATTACAAATAAGAGACAAACCTTAGGCCGATTTAGATTGTACTGCTTATCTTTCGGACAAGGGAAAAGAATATTTATTTGGCTTTCTCGTCTTTCATAAGACCTGCCCTAAGGATGAATTGTTAGCTAGTACATTACAACGGTAAGTAGCGTCGAGTTGACCGCAACTTTAGGAACTAGGACATTTTAAGTCATGCTTTGAATGTGTGCCACTAAGGTTTGCCAGGTATATGATGAGGCCGATTCGGACAGGAGTTATTTGCGCATTAGCTACGTCAAGAGGCTGTCATACTGGCATTCCTTGGGCAACGGAGAAGACTTAATAAACAGTAAACTCTGCTTGTTAGATGCACTTGAGCCTGTAGGTGTTACCAAATTACCGGACATGCTGGCGCTGTTTTTGGATTGGCCTGCTGCGAAAATCGACTTCTGGTTCTGTTCGATTTCCGTATTTGCAGTGATCACGCACGTCTGTGAACCAGCTAGACGACGCATAGGTGTAACAAAAAACCGTACAAAAATTGCGGATGCAGACTTGGTCAATTAAGCTGCTGTACCACGGTATGCTGCTGGAATGACGATGTGCGCATTGTCGTGAGATCGGTACGCTACATATACTCTATAACCGGGGAGCGCGGTTCATGCGTCTGGGATGTATTCACACAATACCGTTCTGCGCTGTTTGTCTGTGAGCTAGCTTATTTAAATATAGCACAGCCAGCCACAGAAACTTTGGGAATATGCCATCGACACAAGTCACCTCCTCGCTCGTCGAGCGGTGTTTCGCATTTTTATTCCTAGAGAAGTCCCTGCCCGTGGTGTAAACCCAACGTTCGCGATCGGTACTGTTCATCACGGTCGAAACATAAAACCACTTACCCATCCTATCATTTTCCGCGGAAGAAGAAAATTTATTGTTCGGATCGTCAGCTGACGGGGGCCAGAGCACTGGCCGATCAGTGTTCTTGCGTTGGATGGTGCGCAATAAACCAGTAGTGGCACATAGCTAAAAGCTAACATAAACGCCTTACCCTAGTTCCGTCATTTTTATCGTCTCATCGGTATTCTATCGATAATGCTAGTCGCTTCGGTACAGTTTAACTATAGAACTAGTAACTACTGACTTGTTGCCATGCAGTACCTGTGTCGCACCCTTCTAAGACGTCAGATCCATATCCAACCTAACTTTTATTGGGCTTAGTTAGCTCGGTTGTACTTCACGATCACTCCACGTGTTACCCACTCCACGTTTGCACTCTTCGTCATCCATGACCTTGCCAACTCTCAAATTGATTGTAGTATCGTTCGTAATTCACATCATTATGTAAGTTCCATAGTATTTCTCTCCAGACTAAGCGAGGCTGCCTATATCTATTTTTCTACTTAGATTATACTCCTTGAAATTGAGCTGCAAATTACACGACTTTGTTTCGACCAGCTGCCAATATCAGCGCGACGCTTAGAGAGACGGTGTATCACAGGATAAATGTTCAGCCATCCACCACTCTTCGGCATTAAGCGTGTGTGCATGCGTGTCAGTTGAAGCCATTCGCAGAGATTTCCGAACGAATTGAGTTCTTGATACAAATCCATGCTATGCTCGCAAATGATTGAGTATATCTGCAGTCCCGACTTAGCTGTTTTGTGTGCGGTGCATTCGCGTCAGTCAAAGCCTCTAAAGCACTTAACCGTTTACGGTACCCATAAAACAATGCTTCCTCGCTTGCCGTAAAGTTTGAAACTTGAAGCATGGACAGTATTCTTTCGCGTGGCCATGTTGAACCATACATCTCCAGAAAAAGCGCCCTGGAAAATTTGTGGACAGTGAACAATTCTGAAAATTAACTAACTAACGATTACCATGTTGTTGCTACTTCTTGTTCTGTTCCACATATTAGTCATGAGAGTGAGTATAGCTATAGTTCCCTTTGTTCATCCGAGGTAATGAAGTTAGCTACGCTTGTGAAAAGGCAGCTAATATCGAGAGTAAAAGAGGAAGCGCAAAGGCGCCTACTAGAATCTGAATAAGAAATGGCCAATCTTCCGGGTAGACGTAGAAGAAGGTAAGGCCAACTGTGGTGGTATGTTAATGCCTTAGTATATTTCATTGGAAAGAAAGCAACACGCAGCAACAATTTTTAGGAACGCCGAATGACTGCACCCGAGATGTTTGATGATAGAGCGTTATCAAATAGAATATCGCCACAGCATAGTACATAGTTACATCTGCCAACCGTTCAGTACTTAGATGACAGCTATGTAACTTCTTTGGAATATGCTAAAGAGTTTGAACAGTTATTCAAAAATCTTATGTTTGACAGTAGGCAGCGGGAATTACTTGATATGTTATTGTTATGGTCGCGCTAAGTAGACCACCAGCAAATGTGTGACATTACCATCTACAATACTTAAGATAGAGAAAGGACCTTCTTCGGGAATCCGCAACTACCTTGGAGAGGAGACGATTGCACCGATTCAGTCTTAAGCGGCCACACGGAGAGACTGCCGTTAACACCTAGTCGCATTCTCATGCTGTGCAACCTCCATCAGTTGCAAGCCTGACTTCACATATAAGGAGCGATATCTACAATACGCACTAACGATAAGTCATCACTATTTTACTGCACGCTTTAGTTTTGTATCATTCCACCTGGGAACAATATACATGACATTTGATTCCTAAGTACTACGTCTGTCCCTATCTATTGTTGATGCCAACTCTTCTGACAAATTTTATGGCTACCAGTTTGGTCCGCGTCTAAATGTTAAGTCACTACCGACGGTTCGTATAGTTTGGTTAATATTGCAATGGCGATTTCCCATAACTTGATGAATATAGCTTTTAGTTTTACCTCTATGCCAAACCTTTGCTCGTGCGTAATTCTATTGTTCATGAAGTTTAATGTTTCTCTATTCAGTTTGTAGTGGTTCACACGCAAGCGTGGACAAATGCTAGTGAACTTACTGGACATGGTGGATTTGAACTGCCATTGTGCAGTTGCTAAGATCGAGGATGACGAAGCACATGGTGTGCTCTTTCCTCTCATTCTGACTAAACTCGGATGACTGCCTGTCGAAACTACGCTTGACACATGAAACCTCCCGTGTGATATGCAACGCTTGGCTGCGTTTGATGTGCATGTTTATTACGGGCCTGCCTGTCTATTAACCTCCACCTCCATTTTGATGGCTCCAGGATCCTGTTAACCTTTGCTGAGGGACAGGGTGCACTGTCCTCGTGACCATTCTCGGCTCGAAGAGTGGTTCCATGCACCCAGTGTGGAACAAACTACGGTCCACACCCCACATTTTTTACGCCTAGTACGCATGATTCCTTAAATAGACATGGATGCTGCTGCCATGCTTGTTGAAAGACTCTGAGTTGGCTGCGTTTATAACACGTAGGCCCTATCTCCATGCCTCCCGATCTTATTCCTTCTGAAATACACCGGATATGGGGTGTCTGGATGGCACTGTGTGTGGTGCAGCGTAAGCCACCCATGGTCTCTCTGTAGGCGCAGGGTTCCTGGGGCTGTCCGCGTAAAAGCCGCACTGACGCACAAATCCTGACGCGGATGCCGCCAATCCATATGTTAGTATAGGCGCCAATTTTCGTCGAACTTTCATTCATTCCTACGTACTTTTCGTTCATTGTAGATGCTTCAAAGAAACCCGACCGACAACAGGTGAGGTTCGCCGGTGCATCCTATTTAGGGACTCGTCAAGCTACTCAACAGTCTACAAGCTTACTAGACAATAAGGCTAATAGTAAGTATGACATTGATATTTACCAATATTGCTACTCAGTTTTACTCTGAATACTTACTGTGTTATGCAAATTAAGTGTGTTAGACAGCGCTCATGCACAAAAATTCAGGAGAAAAGTAGAGACACGATCAGCGGTCCCACATGCTTAACTTAATGGAGGGCACAGTTTTCCATCTCTAACGACTACCCCTACATGGTGAAATGTAGATGACTGTGGCTCTAAGCGTACCCTTGTGACTTAAACATTTCGTCATCTTCGATCTCATATGATTTTGTGTATGCTTACCTGCGAATGTTGCAGGTGAGAGAAATGTTGTGTTCTCCAAGCTAGGTAATTTTGTTGCAGGCTTTCCGTAGCCAAACTAGGCAATATCCTCAGTGGGGCCATAGAGGTCTGATTTGCAGAGTCTCCTAAGCCACTGCCAGATCCAAGTGATTGTTGATCGTCTTCTGCTTTGATTGTATCTTCGATTGGCTCATGTGGATCGGCCAAGTGGCCATCATTTGGGTGATTCCAATTCTGTTGTTCGGGTTGCTTTACTTCTCTCTCATCACACTTCACTTTCAATAGTTAAATGTACAAACAGATAATAGTCACGCCAGTGGCTTCACCAATCTTTGGACTGGTGGCCGAGGCAGTGATGCAAGCACCGGAACAAAAGGCACTGCCCATGATGGAGCCCAAACTTTGGGTACATTATGTGGACGATACTTTTGTCATCCTCAAGCCATCCGGACTACAAGAAACCCACCATCTGATCAATAATATTTTCCCCGGGATCCATTTCACCAAAGAGGAGGAGAACAATGACCACCTCATTCTTAGAAGTGCTCGTGAAAAGACATGCTTCCTAGCCGTTGGAAACAATAGCCAAACGAGAAACGACACAAAATGACCAAATCTTAAACTATCGCAGTAACCACCCGGTCAATTACAAACGCAGTTGTGTGAGTACACTTTTCAAACGGGTCCAAACACATTGTAGCACGTTGTAGCTGAGGAAGGTGGAGGAAGACCACTTATGTAACATGTTCCAGCAGAACTCTTACCATAAAACTTGTATTCTACGCTGCCTGCAGTCAAAAATCAACCACTGCCCGGTTCCGAAAGCGCAACGGAAAGGAAAAGCTTCGTCCTACCTTAGATCCATGGGATTTCTGAGATGGCAGCGAGGCTTTTGGTGGCTCACGGGATCAAAGTTGCACATGAAGCAAGGGAAACTATTCGGAGTAAACTTTTCAGGGCAAAAGACCAACTGAGTAGAGAAGAAACATAAGGTGTGATCGACAAAATTTTCTGTAAAAGTTGTGACAAGTACAGGGAGGAAACTTGGCACAAGACTGCATACACACAGTCTGGCCATCCGCTGCCATGATGAAAGCTCGCTAATGTCAGTACATATGGATATCGAGGCCTATTAGTTCGATCTGGGTAACGTCAAAATAGTTGAAAGAGCGAAGAACCGCAGAGCGCGTGAGTTTCTCGAGGCCTGGCATTCGGGCCAGAACTCAATAAACAAGCATCTAGAACTCGAACCGGTCTACGAAACTCTGCAGGTGAGGTCAAAAATAAGTACCAGATCGACAGGGCGCAGACGTTGCCACTTAGCCTACCCACATGAGCCAATCGAAGATACATATAAAGTAGGAGACGAACAACAGTCACTTGGATCTGGCAGTGGCTTAGGAGACTGCAAATCAGAGCTCTATACCCGCACTGAGGACGTTGCCTAGTTTGACAAACGTCGGCAATGTCTGCGACAATCCTCACATCCACCTCAAGAGCTGCAGGTATTCACAATAATTTGCAGATGTTGCATGTTTCTAATGGGTAAGAGTGCACGGAAAAATGACGTCACTTCGCAATCCACGTTTTCAAATGTTGCTGTTGGTCATAATTGCTGTTCAGATTGATCTGACGGATAGACAAATGTGGTACATTTTCAGCCAATAGGGATATGACCACCAGCACTTATCATTATCAGGCATCGCACCCTAATCTAACAGCTAACGATTTATAAGTGGTACATTTCTCGACTGTGCGAAACAGAGTCCAACTTGATAGTTTGAATACTGGGAACAACAGAATTGCAAAGGATAGACATTTATTCCAACTGTCTAAAGCAGTTCCCGATTACGTTGTTGGATGTTCGACCGGTTACATATGTTAGAGACAAAGAAGTAGAGCGTGGAGTGAAGGTATTCCTTGTCAGAAGTTCACAGGAAGTAATGTGACGATCAGTGGATGTGTCTCATGGGGACTTGCTTCCTCACTAAGTCGTCCCTCGAAAGGTTTCATCCACATTTCCACGCCCCATCAGCTTGTGCCTGTGTGGCGAAGAGCAAGTAAGCCATCAGCTCATATTTAGAGTCGTTATAGATGGAAATGAGCTATTTTTCATTGTTTTAAGCCATTCAACCCGTTACATCAGACGCTTTCGGGAGTGGTGCTTCTGTTGCCCACCAGTATGTCTGACGTGGGTCTATTGGTTACTACGAAAGCTTCACTCCGTCACCTCAGGAGATCGGCGCGGTCGTAGCCAACAATGGAAAAACGAAAGATAGAACGATAATTAACTAAATCTACGGATTAATGAATGGCATATCTCCGACGGATTCTGTTACAGTTTGTACATAGAAGTTGCATAAAAAAGTAAAATGAGAGCTCTCTGGAGAATTTGAAAACAACTCGAATACATCCATGCAATCGAGTCGTAAAGTAATATATGTTGAAAAAATTGACTTCGCAGAGCATTGAGGACTGTAACGAGGACTCGAGTTGTTTCCTCCGAGAAAGAAGAGATACTAGTTAGTAGTGTCCGACAGAAGTAAAGAAAGAAAGAAACGATCAGGTTGGGATGGAGGATTGAAAGATGAAGTGATTTTAGAATGAGAAAAAGGTAAAAAGTTTACCGAAATGAAAAGGATTCCGCTGCATGCGTGGTCATGCAATGTTGTCACTGTGCACCCATACTTCAATCCCTTCTTCGCGCCTTGTTCTGCAGTCCAATTTCATCAGAGTTTTGACTTGTAACACAGTGATGCATTTTTTCAAATGATTATTTTGGCTCACAGAGTGGCGATGCAGTAGGTAACCTGTTCCGTAAATCCGACAAGCCGTCGGGTACATTTTCCTGCGTATATTTGTTTTAGTTCTACATGTACGGAGCGAGTTTCTCCTATCCCTGATGTAACAGCTTCCATTCAGATTGAAGTGAATACTACTGTGCGTAGCAAATACGAGTTTGCGCAATTTAGTGAACAGCAACACCAGGCTCTGTTCCATGCTCCGTAGCCCCCTAGGCTCTAGGTTAAACCATAGAAAGCGCTCCGAATAGTTCGGCGTTGGTGTTTCACTAAATGGGAATTTGCTGAACCCAACAATACTACTGATTTGAGGATGAGCATCGTTGTTTGGTGGGCCTTGGCTGCTATGAATTTAATATGCTCCCCGAAATTGAGGGTTCGTGTATAAGAAATACCCAAGTCGCATATTGCGCTGCGCAATGGAATTGAATTTCCGAGAAGGTATAAAGTGTCCCTATCAGTTGTGCGTCAATGCTCTAATATTCCGAAGGTATCAGCAACGAAAGACATTTTCCGGTCGTCGCACCATGTTTCGGTAGCCAGTAAATCACCCCGTATCTTTTTCAAGGTGCTTTCCAGTCTTCTAGAATGAAAACCGTACGGTATCTAATGTCATCGGAAAACAGGTAGAGTGTCCCTTGTTTAATAGCGCCTATTCTAACATTGATGTAAATCAAGAGGAGCAGAAGACCAAGGACACTTAGTTGGATCAAACGACTAGTAACAGGCAGTGATGATGACTTGTCGATCCCCAGTAACATTTGTTGGTTGCGAGCAGTAACGTCGGAGCTAAACCTGGTATGCAGAGGATCTATGGTGCCAGATGGTGAGAGTTTTATCAGCAGGTAGCCACAGGGCAATCTGTCGAATCATTTTGCCGTGTCGATGAAAATGATGATGGTTGCGTGGCCATTATCCACACAGAGCTGGTTAAGCAAATCAGAAATTCCAGCCGACATGTTTGGCATGACCGTTTTTGTAAAAAGCCATACGGAATCTGGTTAATCGAGTTTTGTGATGGTAAATGGTTCATTATTTTCTCTTTGAACATTCATCCCTTTTCTCTCGTAACAATAAGCGTATGACTAATCGGGCCGAAGTTTCTGATGTCTGCTTTTGGGCTATTTCTGTGCCTAGACAAGATTGGCTTGTGTCCTTTGTATGAAGAATATTTCCGACTCCACTGATATAGTGATTAGTTTTAAAAGTAAAAATGGTATACCTTTGTAACAATAAATTGGCAGGGAAGCTGACAGATCAACCGCGGCCAGGGTAAGAGGATGGTCGTACTCGGTCTACAGGTGCTAAAAATATCTGCACTTGATCAGCACTTTGCGCAGTTTTACGATGTTACTGGGCGTATTCGACAAAGGTACGTCAAGTGGAATATTGTACTATAAACTAAAGTACGTACTTTGCGCATATGTTATTGCACAGGATCCGAGGTCATGAACTGGTCTGGTAAAATGATGGCAGAAACTGTACCGAGTTGAATGTTATTCTGTGTCTACATCATTCTAACTAATTCTGGAGTTGCTGTCACACTCCAGAGCTCGTTCCTCTTCAGCCAATAATCGTCATGTGCATTTTCACTAAAGTTCAACAAGAGGCTTATGCTGTCTTATCAACAAGAAAATTAAATGTCCGGTTAATCTAAACGCGTACTTTCTTCTATTGCAATAATAAGCCAGCTGCACGAGGCGTTTTTACTGCTACATTTTTGCTCAGACGTTGTTTGGTTAGCGCAAGGATGTCTAGGATTTGTGAAGGTTTGCGTACATTTCATTAAACGTAGTTTGTAGCTCTTTTGTAAGAAAGCCGTATCCAGTTCACAGAAAAGACAAAAATTATTTTTACCCCAAACAAAGTTCATAAATTTTCTGCCTAGCGCTGCCATATGTCGAGGATTGGGT